CGACTAGGGCGTGGCAGCATCCATCCTTTTATCTCCAAACTTGCCTCCCACAAGCCCCAGCTGCATACTGAATCTTGATCCCGAAAAACTCACAGCAGACATCTGCTGAGTCACAACAAATCCATTCAAATGAAGCATGTTGATCCTAATCTATTTATTTCAAAGAAAAGAATTTAATAACGTTATGTATTCTCAGCTGTCCCTTTGAAATTATATATAATTAAACATCCTTGGCATTGATATTTTGCTTGTGCATATTAAGGTGCTAATCATCCATGCATTTTAACTACAAGATATCAAGCCCTGGAATACGTATGTTGTATGTAGGAATAAGATAAAATAGGAAAGGGAAGCCGTAGTACCAGAGCTGCACAGCTTCTAGTGTCGCTTGAGATCTTCTGTTTATACAATACCCAAATGAAAATCATTAAATACGTTTCATGAATTCAAATTTACTCTTTTTAAATAAAATAGGTAGATGGAGGGACCAGAAAGGAGTCAACATGGAATGGGGAAAGGTTGAAAACAAATAAATACCACAAGTCTTCTCACTCTGAAATCAAAATTTGTTTTCAACCTCCAGAGGTGGTATTCATTTACCTGCCGGTTTGCAAATGTGAGGCAAGCGCATGCTCTCTCTCTCGCTTCACTTGTATGTGCCACGTCTGCACATGAGCTCCGCCTTCCTCACATGCGCTTTGCCTAAGAAAGTGTCCTAAACGGGATGCCATAGAGCCGGGGAGATTTCCGCTACCAGTTCGGGCGAACCGGTCAGAACCGGCAGAATACCACCTCTGCCTGTCTCCATTCCAAGTTGACTCCATTTTTGTTCTGGTCCCACCATCTGCCTATTTTTTGGTGTGTCATCCCTAATTTGCCAGTGGAACCCTCAGCTAGAAAAGTCTGCCATAAAGTATTCTTACACTTTTAATCAGACTGTAAAAACACATCCGTTCTAGATTTTCAAATATATATCATTTATATTTGGCTGCCATTTGCAGAAACGTTATTTTTGGTTCTGTTTTGAGTTATTAAATGCTGGAATGCGGTTCGTTTTAGGCTTATCTGTCTGTGTTGCATTTCTGACATCCAGAGCTGCAGCAACGAACAGCGCACAGATACATAGCTAGCATGTAACCATTCTACTCGATAGAGCTTTTGCTTTCCTTCCTCAAGGCCAGTGGTCACTCTTGCCTCTTGTTGTCTATCAGGTTGGGGACCCACAGCTTTACATCTAGCAGCCCAGTGCGGTTCCCTTGAAGCGCTTCATTTCCTTCTGGCTTTAAGAGCAGATTACCAAATACCCGATGACCGAGGATGGTTGCCAATCCATTTTGCTGCCTATTATGACAACGTGTCCTGTATCACAGTTCTCTACCGAAAAGACGCACAGCTGATAGAGGCGGAAACTCAATCTCTGTGAGTAAGCAGGGGGGGGGGGGTCCAGGAAGAACGTTGGAAGTGGGGGGTCTAGACCAGAGACAGGTTGCTTGGTGGGTTTAGGAAGCTGGTAGAGTTGAGAATGAGGGAGGTGGTTGAGTTTAAGTTTGAGTTTGAGTTTTAATAGATTTGTATGCCGCCCAATCCCGCAGGACTCCGGGCGGCTTACATAAAAACAGTTCAAAAACAAAATACTAAGAAAGTTAAAATACAAAACAACGGATTAAAAAAAGGACACAACATACACTCTATGTTAATGGGGCTGAAGCTCAGTCAGAGATCAGCAGCCCCTGGCCTGCAGGAACAGCCAGGTCTTAACAGACTTTTGGAAGGCCGAGACAGTAGGGAGGGTCCGGATCTCAGGGGGTAGATCGTTCCAAAGGGCTGGGGCAGCTACACAGAAGTCTCTCCCCCGAGGAGCCGCCAAACAACATTGTGTAGTCGACGGCACCCGGAGAAGGCCCACCCTGTGCGATCTTATTGGGCACTGGGAGGTATGTTGCAGGAAGCGGTCACGGAGATATCCAGGTCCTAGGCCATGTAGGGCTTTAAAGGTGATAGCCAGCACCTTGAAGCGTGNCAGGCCTGGGGCTAAAGACCCTAACCCTCCCCGAATAGTATGAATGTTGTGCTTTTAACGATGTATTGTCTTATATGTAACTTGGTTTGTCCTCCCCTCCCCCTGAACTGTGTGCCGCCCTGAGTCCCCCCAGGGAAAAGGCCGGCATACAAATAAAGTATCTTATCTTATCTTATCTGAGACAGAGGCACTTAGATGAATTTATATTAGGGAAAAGTTTATACAAATATTAACAATATTTCTGGAAATAACTTACCAAAGGGCCTAACTGAAACAACTATCTGAAAAATTGTATATTTGCAAATTTTCAAAACAAAAATAGGCATTTCAAGAAATTGATATCAGTATATACAAATATTAATTCATTGAAATGGGGGGCTTGGATAAATAAAAAGAAAAGGGGAGAACAGAGAAAATATTGCTTATTGCTTTATTGTGTGCTTTCCCATGGCAAAAGCATAAAAGGCTTTTTATCTTCTTGGTTCAGCGGCAAGGAAGAAAATAGAAAGCAAAGTTTAAGGATTTGCATATTCTATGAGGCTTACCTATCTGCATAAGTTTATATAATGGCTGTCCAAGCCATTTCGCGGTCTCACGCAGAACCAAATAGCATCCCACTAAAGTCAGGATTCCTAAAAAAAAAATGTGCTGTAACATTCAGGCACCCAGTTTTGCAGCCCATTGTCCATATATATATATTCATTCTGTAGTGGCAATCATTCCTCCTTCAGATTTCACTGTTTGTTTTATTAGTTTTGTATGCCGCCCACTCCCGAAGGACTCCGGGCGGCTTACAATAAAACAGGGAAAGGGATAAATAAGATGATACAACAATTTAAAATACAGCAACATTCACAATTGAAGTTTCCCCCACTGCTTTTCTCAGTTGTTCAGTTCTTAACCAAAGGAATTCACCTTCCTTCTCTGGTACAGTCCCCTAAAGAAGTCAGAATCTTGGAGAGATTCAAGGCATGTTTCATTGCTGTAACTGGTGTGTTGTTTTTGTTCTTGGTGGCAGGTACCATACCCTCATTAATCAGATTGTTGAAGAGCGAAGACATCAAATTGGAGTGCCTCACTCTGGGAGTGTTGAGTAACATCTCCACCCATGAGTCAATTGTCAGAGCCTTTGTAGAAGCTGGAGGCATCCCTGTGTTAATTAAGCTCTTGTCTGTGGAACAACCCGAATTGCTGTCTCGTTGTGCAGTGTTTTTATATGATATTGCCCAGCTGGATAATAATCAAGTCATCATCGCTGAACTGGTAAATCTAATGGGGGGGGGGGGATGTTCACTTTTGCAGTTACCCTTCTTTAAAAAATTAATTAGAATAATAATAAGATGGGTGTGTTTTTCCATGATAAGAAACACACCTTTTATTATTTATGACATTATTCATATTTGTTTGATGTTTAGAAGTATTATAAAGTAGAGGCCTGTCTGAGTGCATTTGGCCGTTTCTAAGTTCTGCTTTGACATTGCAGCCACAACTATGACTTCTGTTGTTGTTGTTGACTTCATTTGACAAATCAGGATATGCCTATTGACTGTAACCTTTTCTTTCTATACTAGCCTCTGAACCAATGTTGAAATTCAATTTTTTTTATTAATGGTTCTGTGGGTGTGGCTTGGTGGGCATGGCAGGGGAAGGATACTGCAAAATCCCCATTCCCTCCCCACTCCATTCCAGGGGAAGGATACTACAAAATCCTCATTCCCTCCCCACTCCTGTGGAAAGGATACTGCAAAATCCCCATTCTCTCCCCACTCCTGGGGGAAAGATATTGTAAAATCTCCATTCCCTCCCCACTCTGGGACCAGCCAGAGGTGGTATTTGCCAGTTCTCCAAATTGCTCAAAATTTCCGCTACGGGGTCTCCTGAACCTGCTGAATTTCACCCCTGCTCTGAACTGAATTTCTGCCCCAATGTTAATTATTGCTGAGATACAANAAAGGGCAGCATATAAATAAAATAAACATTCAAACATTCAACAAACATAAAAGCGAGTGACCACATGACCAGACCTGTTTTTACAACCCTTTTTTTGCTGCGGTTGTAAAGTGACTATGGTTGTGAAGAGGAGCCCTTGTTCACTAGGGAACATATTTGTAAACAATCGTTTTCAAACAAAAATGTGGTAGAATGCAGTCACATGCCTGGATGACACTGCAAATGGTCGTAAATGCAGGCCAGTTTCCTTCTGCCCAACAAGTGGTCTCGTGACCAGGGGTGGCAGCCATTGGAGCTTTGGAACTGGACCATAAATACCTTTGGGGGGGAGCCCGTCGTAACTTTGAATGATTGCTAAGCGACTCGTCCTATGTCAAGAAATACCTGTACATGAAATAAAATCCAGTGTATTCCTTTTGATTTGGGTCAGTTTTTTTTTTTTCATATCACAGTATTTTGTTCTTTTTTCTATATATAGATATCATTCCACGCCACTTTTGCTTGCAGCTGTATCTGGAGCACTAGATAGTATCAAGTATTTGTTTTCTCTTAAAGCCGACTGGCTAAAAAAAGACGGTGAAGGAAATAACATAATACATTTGGCTGCACTGAACTTCCACACAGAAGTTTTGAAGCATCTAATTGAGTTAAATAACCCTGCTCTCCCAGTTTGGAAAACTCTTGTTGGTAAGTACCCTATATAGTAATTCTGATTAAATCACTGAAAAGTTTCAGGGTGAGATTAAAAAGGTAAAGGTTTTCCATGCCCCGTTGTGTTGCACTCTAGAAGATGGTGCTCATCTGTGTTTCTTAGCCAAGGCAGCCAGCATTGTCTGAAGACACTTCCATGATTATATGCCCAGCATGACTATAAGCCGAGATGCACGAAACACTGTTACTGTCAGCGTTCCAAGTATCATGTAGAATTAAATCAGAATCAAAGGCAAAACGATCCTTAAAG